AAGAGAAGGTTCAGGGGGGGATCTCATCAATGTGTACAAATACCTGAAGGGAGGGTGTTAAAAGACAGAGCCAGGCTCTCTTCAGTGGTGCCCAGTGACAGGACAAGAGGCAGTGGGCACAGACTAAAACACAGGAGGGTTCGTCTGAACATCAGGAAACACATTTTTACTGTGGAGGTGACTGAGCACTGGCACCGGTTACCCAGGGAGGTTGTGGAGTCTCCCTCCTTGGAGATACTCAAAAGCAGTCTGTACATGGTCCTGGGAAACCTGCTCTAGGAGACCCTGCTTGAGCAGGAGGGCTGATGACCTCCAGAGTTTCCTTCCAACCTCAACTGTTCTGTGATTTTGTGAAATAGTGTTTTCAAACTAATTGGGACTAAGCCAGTATATTGTTTGGCTAAATATTCTCATGCTCCTCATCAACAAATTTCAGCGATCAGGATAATTTAATTTGCTATGAATAGGAGCATATATTGACACAATATAATGACCAAGAAAATTAGAAGAGATTCACAGGTTTATCAAAACCTGACACACAATTCTTCATAAATCATTACCTCACCTATTGCTCATAACCTGCTGTATTTTCAATTCTAGTTCTTGTTTCTCCTAAATGTATCAGCAATTAGTACAGTAACTTCTTTTCATTACCAGCTTTCACCATAAGCGCACTCCATTAGCAGCTCCATAAGAATTAAAGCATGTACCTGGCTCACAGGAAAAACAATCTGGATTAACAGGACAAGAATGCCACTGAATGACTATTTTAGTATTACTCTGGCAATATGACTATCAGAGCATGTTTGCTCCTGTTCACTCTTTATCCCTTGAAATGCAAAACAGTCAATATTCTGATGCAGGTCCAGCTCACATCTACAACCCAAAACCTTTCATCTCAAGAAAAATCAAATCACAAAAATCATGCTTAGTGCAGTTTACACAGTAATTGATTTTAAAAAAGAATAATGAGACACAGATTATGAAAATGCTTGACAGTTAACCAAAGCTGAGAATAAACATTAGTTTCTTCTTTTGTAGAAAATGCCTAGTTGATTACAGCAGTATTGTTTTTAGGTCTGTCCTTAGTTCACCACAGAGGAAATTGGATACCTGTAGATGAGCCGTATTACTTGGAACAGAAAAACTAGAAGCATATTTTACTAGTATGGATTCATAAACTGAGTTTGTAGGTTAGAGCAACATTCCTAAAAATTGAACCAGTCCTCAAAAAGTTGATTCTGTGAATCAGAAACAGGTATTCAAATACACAGAAGACAGACAAGGAAATATGAAACCTGTCTGTAGTCAAACAGAAAACGTAGGAAGGTTTCCCAGAAATACAGAAACCTTAATCAGCTGTGTTCTATTTTCTCTTTAGTCAGGAAAGAAAAAAAACAACCTGTAATAATAATGGGGACCCTTTATGATATGCATAAAATGAATTTTAAGGTTTTTTTTGTTTTGAAATTACAAATGTATTTTCTCAAAATATCTGTATGCACAGCTATACATTCGTTTTAAATTTCTAACTGTTGTGCATTGGTATAAACACATTGGTATAAGTGCTATTAAATCCAGATTTTGTTATCACAATGCTATAATAAAAACACTGGAGCTAATGAAAGCCAGTTATTGTAAAAATACTAAATTTCACAAGCTAGAATTCACCTTAGTTTTTGTAAAATAAAGAGCACAAATTGCCCTATCACCTACGCTGTTAACAAGAAAATTACAAAATTTAGGTTTCAGCTTTGTAAAGAACTGTCCAGCTTTTACTTTGGAATGGTCACCACAGTAAATATTTTTAGGGTATTCCTCTACAGGCTCTTGCACTCCCTTTGAAGAATTACCTCCTAAAAATGTCAAAAACCAATATCCCAATATTATCTCTTATCAGATAATCTTTATCCTTTGTTTCACACCATCAACACATATCCAAAGATTAAATTTCTTACGCATCTTCTTTCTAACAGAACTACAGCTACTGGGAATTTCTCTTGCCTGGTTTCAACAGGTAATGGCCCTAATTCATATAGTATCACTGTCAGGAGGTATAAGAGAACGTTGAAGGTAACAGTCTGAAATAAATATAGTAATTCTAATACAATTTTGAAACATATAGTGTTTAACAGCTCACCATTTCTCAGGAAAACAACTGCCTTCATCTTTGCTTCCTACTCCCACTCCAACTCCAACCCCTCAAAGTTGGTGAAGCAGTAGGAGGCAGAAATGAAAAGTAGTTATTTTCTATGAAATATAGGACTGATATTCAATTAATTTCAAGATCGCCAGAATACACTCTATCTGCTTACAGCTTCTTTGTCCCCACAAGAAATAATGTTTTCTAATTTCTCACTTTTTCTATTTAAGAAATGATAGCATCCACTCTTGAGTAACTCTTAAAAAAAAAAAAGTACCTGTGGCTGAAATGGTGGAGCAGTAGGCCCCTGCATGCCTTGCGACTGTTCATCCATTCTATCACGTAAAAGCGTCCCGTATGTCCTGAAAAGAGAAACAGAGTCATTACACTGTAATTCAATCTGTATTTATGATCAATGAACATCAGCAGAAGAACTGAAGAATTAATTTTCTCATTCGCATGCTTGAGTTTATAACATTTAACTATTCCAGCCCTACACTGTTTTAGGAAGGAAGTTTTCTTATGTTTAGCTGTTCTATAAAAATGAAATAAATCACTATACACATCTGAACTTATTATTAAAAGATGTGCATTAAACTACTTGAGCCAGACAAATGGCTCTGTCTGATAAAAGCTGCATCACCCCATTATTCTTCAGAGGCACAACCACTTGTTTTAATACGTAGGTGTCTGCTGGCCAGTACCTTAGACCTATGGGCAGCATGGGAAATAGCAGATCAGCAGAAGAGTTATGACTGCTGCATTAATTTATCTGTAGATTTTAGGGAGTATGCAAGAATATTTCCATTTAAATAGAAAAAAGCTAAACATGTACACTCATTACATTCTGACAAGCTAGCTAAGAGGGCTTTGAGATACCATATTAGGAGCACAGCCTCTATTCCCAACTATGAACCTCTCATATCTCATCAATAAAATGGGATGAAAGATGCCTGCCAAGTTCCCAAGATAGAGACACAAGGCTTTGACCAATAATAACAGCTGCAAAATGTGCAGAATCATTATTAGGAAGAACAGGAGAGACAAAATTGCAAATGCTCAAGAGGCTTTTTTCTCAGCTAAGCGAATCCTTTCTTAGGCTACAAGACATTTTGTTGAGGGGAAGCAGGTGCAGCACCCAGTTTTATTGGTGCCTATGAGGGCCATCTCTGTTCAGACGAAAACAACAAAGTTCACTGGCAGCTTCGAATGCAAACAATGAAATAAACTTTTATACACGTAAGAGGCAAGCCCTGAACAACTCTTTCATCACACAAACACAAAGTGTCTCTGCCTATTACCCGGTCAAACCTGCCAAGGCCTTCAGAGGAACAAGAGTCATGTGTCTGACTGGAAAACTATTCTTGCTTTTCAATTTGTTTTTTATTTATTTATTTTCTTATTTCCTGCTCCAAATCCCAAAAGTTCTAGAGGTGGTTTGACATATGTCGTGGTTTAATCTCAGTCGGCAACTAAGCACCACGCAGCTCACTACCCCCACCCGGTGGGATGGGGGAGAGAATTGGAAGAGCACAAGTTAGAAAAACTCGTGGGTTGAGATAAAAACAGTTTAATAATTGAAATAAAATAATAATAATAATATAATAATAATAAGAAGAAGAAGAATACACAAAACAAGTGATGCACAGTACAATTGCTCACCACCCGCCGACTGATGCCCAGCCAGTCCCCGAGCAGCGGCCCCCCCCGGCCAGCTTTCCCCAGTTTATGTACTGAGCATGACGTCACATGGTATGGAATGTCCCTTTGGCCAGTTTGGGTCAGCTGTCCTGGCTGTGCCCCCTCCCAGCTTCTTGTGCACCTCCAGCCTTCTCAGTCAGTAGAGCATGGGAAACTAAAAAGTCCTTGGCTAGTGTAAGCATTACCTAGCAACAACTAAAACATCGGTGTGTTATCAACTTTGTTCTCATCCTAAATCCAAAACACTGTACCAGCTACTAGAAAGGAAATTAACTCTATCCCTGCCGAAACCAGGACAACATAAAACACTTTTCTGATACCTCTTAAAGATTAGGCTATTTCCTATGATAAATTTATTCTGATAAATCTATATACTTCAAATACTGCAAACATGTCCTTCTACACACAGAGCTACTTATGTTTCAAACCTTTCTTTAGAATGAGTACGTAAAGATTTCTCAAATAGCATTTAAGTTCAGCATGAAAGCATACAATCTACTACTATCTGTTAAAACACAAAATAAATCTTCCCAGTAATTTCTTTCGAGAATATTAAAAACATTAGAAATAACTCTCAACAGAAAGCAGCAAACCTTAGAAATGTTTTTCAAAGCCCACTGCAAAATATTTAAGAAACTAACAAATAGCTTGTGTTCACAGTACTGTTGTCACTCTTACAGCATCATTTTGATAACATTACTAATAGACAAAATAATCACAAAGCAGCTTTGCAAAGCTTCTCAATATACTGCCCTAGTGTACTAAACAGTGGATTGGATACGCAAAACAAGTCATTAGCAATCTGCTTTCACTCCCCCGTTTAAAGCAGTCAACCCATGCCATTCCAGTACCATTAGCTACTCGTAACACCAAACCACAGCCAACCTCCAGAGCGACTAAAGGCCCCAACAGCTTTGCCTTCCTATCCTTAGTACTCCTGTATAAAGCATACAGTTTGGGACTTTCTGTTGTTTTGTCTGAGTATTAGCTGTAATTAATCCAAAGATAAGAGATCCGAAAAAGAAATTTCAGGCAGGTCAAGGGCGGGGGGGGATCAATTATCAAACCGAGGTGAGAGGCAGAGAAGAGGAGGAATTGCAAAGATTTCTAAGACTGTCAGAATGAGCGTGGTGAGAAAGGGGGAAACAGCTGGCGGATACATGCTGCACACCACAGGCTAGGCAATCTTTAGCCAGCCCTAGGACACCAATATTGACACTTCTTACAAGTTCTACAACATCTCCCATACAACCTCCCCACCAAGGCAAGAAATCGTAACACAACAAATTAAATTGAATTATTAAATTAAATTGAAAATTAAACCGTTGTCACAAAACTGCACCCAAGTTCTCTAGTTAGATTCACAGAGGTTTATGCAGTTGCGACAAATTCTGAGGGAGGAATGCATGTCAATCTTAAGGAATCTTCTGCTAAGTTCTTGCTGTAGAGGTCTTTCTATCACTGCCAAGAATTCCTTTCTTAAGTGCTGTTTCGAAGAGCCTTTATAAGAACTCTAATCTTTTCGATAGTGTCAATATTTCTACTGAAAGTTTTGCAGTGTGTTTTACTAATATGTTTACATATTGAAGACTGTTGACCACGTAATGCACCAATAGATAATTCCTATGGGTCACAAACACTTGTTTCACAATCCCCAGGGAAAAGAAGTAAATACAAAACTCTTTATCCTCTATTGCAGACATTTATCCAAGATTAATGAAGTCTATGCTGAAATGTTTAGATGATGTATGTTGATTCAGGAACTATACAACCCACTCATCTTGTCTGCATGGTCAGAGGCACTGACTAGAAGCGTTTGGAAATTTGTGTCTCTAATTTAGGGAGAGTAGAAAGGGGAGAAGTCATATCATTACCACTGCCAATGGCTCTGCCCTCTGTGGCTTGTTTTTATAATAAAAGCAAGCAAATTAAAGAGGTAACAAATACGTTCTACCACAGGAAGCATGGAAGATTTATTAGCTTGTGGATTTTTTGTTGCTTTTGCAGAGGAACGACAAATATTGGTATTTTCTGTCCATATATGGAAGTTCTTTTATTTTTTTAACTTGTTTTTGTCTTTGAAGACTGCACGATAGATTCACATTTTAGAGTAATTTGGCATTTTGATCATACAAAATGCCAAGGATGCAAAATGAATCTTTTGTACTGTTTGTCAACATAAGCAAGAATTAGATTTTGCTGCTTGAAGACTGTTTTCACAGTGAGGCATGTCTTTCACCTTGATAATAAACTCCAGAGGTCAAAACATAGTGGTATAATATTTATCATCATTAAATTTAAATTGAGGCAATAATTATTACTCTTCCAAAGATGGTCTTCAAGTTCTAATTTATGGTGAAAAGACACTAAAAATACTGTCAAAGAGTCATTGCTTGTTTAAAATTGAAAAGCGAATACAAGACACATTTAAATGTGACATGTCTATCACCTCTTTAAACAAGCAATACAATGACCACCTTCTGCAAATCCATCACCATGATATAAACTGGTTCATGGAAAACAGACAACAGACGAAGCGAGAGGCAAGCCAGCTATACCACCACCACCCAAAACTTCCAAAGTGCCAAATACAACTAACGTTTGTAAACGCTCTCACACTGATCATGTAGGAGGAAAGGACTCCTTGCCTTCACCATATCACTTGCAAAGATAGGAACAATGAAAGACTCTCTGAATCATTTATCTTGCAAAGATGACTTTCATCATTTTGAAGATGAAAATCATTGGGATTCAGACCAAACTGTACACAACGGTGATCACAGGAACGCAAGCATATACAGTAAATCTTATACTTCAATTATGGTTACTAATACTTTGCAGGAACGAGAAGACTTTTGGTTAACTACTAATGCTTTAAATTCTTTGTCTTTTTCAGTTGATCAAAACAGTAGGTGGCACCTACACATAAAGGATGCAGGACGAAGTACCTGGGGATACAGACAGCACGACCAATTTTTCATTTGAAATTGCAATTGCATAGCAACTCCCGTAATAGACACTATTTACTCCATGCACCGAGCCCACCATACAGCAGAAGGGAGTTGAGTCCTCACCAGTAAGTTAGACTATCACACTGCAACTGCCTGAACTGGGTAGAACACCTTTTCCTTTCTTCAGACACGGGCCTCGCTGTCCTTATTCACTTCCTTAGTGGCCACCTCCAAAGCTCTCAAGTATCTGCCCATGCATCTAAAGATCGTGCAAAGACACAAAGTAGCCCAAAAAGCAAGGGTGCATTCCTACACCCCAACAGAAGCTCATGTCCCACAGTCAGCACTCGGCCTTCCAGGTGGTTTCCACCAGCCTGTTAGAGGAGAGGTGGGACTACCCACGACTCTGTTAGGGAAATCGGAGCAGAGGACCCACTCCTAAACAGGAACCAGAGCTCATCACTGACCTTTCACTGGAATGTATTTTAAAATAACATTTTTAAAAGAAAAAAAAAAAGATACCTGGGAAAAACTTGAAATCCTTCTGACTTGAGTCAGAATATAGATGAACTGCAGAATATAGACGTAACTACACATAATTGCTAACACAGAGGAACATGAAGTTGCACCATTCACAATGTGCTGACCAGGCACATGGTCACTTTAGCTGCTGTTCACAAAGGACAGAACGTACTATGTTTACTT